GCCAACATCAACAGCAACATCAACAGCAGACAACAATCAGCACAAATTGGGAGGAACCTGAAAGAAACAGCCTCCTTCACCTACCTGGGAAGCATCGTTTCAACTACAGGCGGACGGAACTGACGAGGATATCAAAGCCAGAATCGGAAAAGCAAGACAGGCTTTCATTACTCTCAAATCTGTGTGGAGGTCGACAGCACTCAGCATTAATGATAAGAAGATCCAGATTTTCAACTCCAATGTGAAGTCACCGCTACTCACTATACGCATCAGAGACTTGGCGAGTCATAAAGAGCATCTCCAACAAACTTCAGACCCTCATTAACAGTTGTCTTCGCTCAATAATCAAGATCAGATGGCCAGAAAAGATCAGCAACAGGGATCTCTGGGAGCGAACCAATCAGGAACCGATTGTGAAACAAATAGGCAGGAAGAAATGGAGATGGATTGGCCATACACTGAGGAAACCATCAAGTGACATCACTAGACAAGCCCTCTAGTGGAACCCGAAAGGGAAGCAGCGAGTTGGCCGTCCAAGGGTTACTTGGAGGAGGTCATGTGAGGAGGAGATGAAAGCATGTGGACAGACCTGGAGCGGGATGAAAACAATGGCAGAAAACAGAAGGCAATGGAGGTGCGCAGCTGAAGCCCTATGTTCCTCTAGGAATTAAAGGATATAATAATAATAATAATAATAATTGCACAAACTTTGAAGTTATGTATCCTAATGTGTAAAGAATACTTGTAACAACAGAAGACAAGGGCCAGGCAAAGATCGTTTATTAAGGAAATCAACACATATTTATAGATTTTCATGTACATATTATAGATTATTGTTAGCTGACAAACACAGTTTTCTGATTAGTTGTTTCTCACAGAAAGTTAACCTTGCACCTCTTTGTGGCTGCTTCTGGAGTGTCGGATCACCTATCTGCTAACTGTATCCGCCTACGCAAAGTCTACTGTCGGTCTTTGATCTTGTTTTCACATGATCGATATTTGCGAAATAAACACTGACGTCAATTACTGTTTACCAATTTGGTTAGCAGCCATCTCTCGCCACATACTTACTGTAAACACCGCCTTGTTGAATATCTCAAGCATTAAGTCTGCCAGTTTTGTCATCAAGAAGACGAAAATTTAGCGAAGAATAAGTAAAACGTCTCAGTCTATGGAAACTGGGTTTCACAGTTGTAGACTCACCTTCGTAGACCAGAAGTTATCTAAGACACACTATAAATTAAAATAATACTATCTTAATAATTGATATACCCAAACCACAACTAACAAGAATATATATATATATGAAGAAGAGAAGACGTTCAGCGAAGAGATTTTTTTCGGCGAATTCATTCACATAGCTGTACACTCGCAATTATATATAATTATTTGTGTGTGTGTATGTTTACTTGAGGTTTGCCAAGTCTGGACACTTAATTAGGTAATAAAAGAATGATCTAATGTAGAAACAAGGTTAACTGGGACAGCAACTAAAGTAAGATTGAGTTAGTAACTTAGATGACGTAATATAATTGACTAAAATGTTTCAACTTTGGTCAGGATAGAAACAGGGGTAGTTACAAGTAGACACTAAGTAGAGGTGGAGTAGAGAATAATGCCATTTAAATTAGGACTAAAATTAAGCAAATAAGTTGGATGACGCAACATAAATGACTAGAAATTGAGCATCCGTTTATTTTTACTACTGTTCAAACTTTTGTCTTTTAGAACAAGCTTCCTGACGTTATATTTTATGATAAGGAGTAGCTGTGCTGTTCGTTAAAAATTATTATTATTATATCCTTTAATTCCTAGAGGAACATAGGGCTTCAGCTGCGCACCTCCATTGCCTTCTGTTTTCTGCCATTGTTTTCATCCCGCTCCAGGTCTGTCCACATGCTTTCATCTCCTCCTCACATGACCTCCTCCAAGTAACCCTTGGACGGCCAACTCGCTGCTTCCCTTTCGGGTTCCACTAGAGGGCTTGTCTAGTGATGTCACTTGATGGTTTCCTCAGTGTATGGCCAATCCATCTCCATTTCTTCCTGCCTATTTGTTTCACAATCGGTTCCTGATTGGTTCGCTCCCAGAGATCCCTGTTGCTGATCTTTTCTGGCCATCTGATCTTGATTATTGAGCGAAGACAACTGTTAATGAGGGTCTGAAGTTTGTTGGAGATGCTCTTTATGACTCGCCAAGTCTCTGATGCGTATAGTGAGTAGCGGTGACTTCACATTGGAGTTGAAAATCTGGATCTTCTTATCATTAATGCTGAGTGCTGTTGACCTCCACACAGATTTGAGAGTAATGAAAGCCTGTCTTGCTTTTCCGATTCTGGCTTTGATATCCTCGTCAGTTCCGTCCGCCTGTAGTTGAAACGATGCTTCCCAATTTTTATTTCGTAGAATTCTTTAATGACTACACTTTTGAATTTATTGATAAAGGCAATGTAAAAGGGCTAATAAATGGATGAGGCACAAAAACACTTCGAGTAGATAAATAATAAGTCTGCAATCAACGCTAACTAATGCAGTATTTCTACTTGCACATAACCACAAAAATATGGTATGCAGAATGGGCGCTTTTTTTAAAAAGCAACTTGATTCAATGAAAATAAAGATTTGATTAATGAAATTTCACTTCATTCAATAAAATACTGCTGGACACATGTAATTAAGTCAAATGATAGAGCTACACTAAGCACAAAAATTGAAATTCGTATTTCCAACACTAATATTAAATCAGTCGTTTCTTTGATTCGGGTCAAAAACTTGGCGCATCATGAAATACATCTCCAACGAGCCACTACAGACTTTTTCATCAACAGCTGTCTTCGCTGAATCCATACTTAAGAATAAAAGGCCAGAAAGAATTAGCAACAAGAAACTGTGGAAACAAACCGATCAAGATCCTCACTGCTCAAAAAAATCTTTTAAAGAAAGTAGAGATGGATAGCATAAACGCATAGGCGGCCTTTGAATGGCACCACGCATCAGGCCATCTAATTGATACCGAATGGAAATGGCGAGATGGTCGTAAGTATGAAGGTGACACGGAAGAGATCTTGTGAAAAGGAGATAACAGACTGGGGGAATTCTTGGGGTCATCTGGGGAGGACTGAAAAGAACAGCATAAAAATGAGGACTTGCTACTGAAACTCTCTTTTCCATTCAGAACCTAAGGAAATAATCATAATAATGGTGGAGCAGCCTTAAGAATCTAGAACAAATTGTGCTAAGTGCATTGCAAATGCTGTGAAATAGTTTGTAGTTATGTAGTAACCAGATCAGAAATTTAGGCATCTACTTTTGAACGAGTAATAGGAGAAAATTATTCTAGTAGGTGATACTTGCATACAACAGACCAACAAATTGCCTGTTACAATTTGTAGTATTTAAACTGTTAATAAGGTCTTAATTTTCACTTTAACATAAGACTAACACTTTCAAGTGATGTCAGTTAACTCAATAAAGGATTGAGTGTTTTAAAATCATTCTGAAGCTTCTCAAAGAGGCATGAAAGAAAATTTATACTCTTGAAGACAGCTAAAAAGATGTTACCAGTTTATAAATACATCACTACATTGTCTTCCTGAAAATTAAACTGTACTTCACAAGCTCTTTTTTTGAGAATTTTAAATGAGTTCAGTTAAATTAATAATTAGAAGTAAGAATTCACTGTTTCGAATGTACTTGCTTAGAAAATACATGTGTATTTATTTCCCATATTTTGAAAATTGTGTGAATGAAGGCATGTACCACTAGGTCTTTGTGTTAAATGAATCAATATCATGCTATGCTTCAACTTGGTATTCGATATTATGCTGTCCTGAACTTTCTTTTGTGTATGTTAGCACACCACCTGTGTGATACATTTTTAAAGTTTCTAATCGACTAACACGATAATAACTGTATATATACACTAAAAGCACCATTGTTTCCTCGTTGACCGTTTTGAATATTTATTTTTAAGCGGTAATGGTAACGATGACGAAATCATACAAGGTAAAACATTAACCATAATTCTAAAATGAATACCCATCAAGACATCAGATAACGAAAAAGACATTCGGTAGAAGTATCTTATCGAAGATTCATTCTGAAGAGCTCTATAACTGCGAATTATGTGCGTCGGTGGCACAGTGGTTAGGACTCTCGTCGACCATGCACATGGTCCGGGGTTCGAGACCGCACCGACGCACACCTGATATCTATGGTCGGCCTGCAAAATTGGGCTACCGATATCCATGCTGAAAATTCCATACTTGTACCAAAAATACAGTGTGGAATCAAGCTGTTACCAAAAATAAAAAATAAATAAATAAAAATAAATAAAATTTATATATCGATTAGCAGAGTTGTGAGTCGATGATGTAGTGGTAAAGTGTTCACCCACCATTCATGTGGTCAGGCGTTCGATTAACGACTGACACATTCCGAAACCATTTAAGAATGCTTTTCTCATAATTTAAACAGAATGATTTTTAAATTGCTGAATGGTGACTAGGAGTGGAAGCTAGAACGCGCGTTTCGTCCTTTCTGGGACTCATCATTTGGTTGTACCTGCATTTCGCAGTAAGTGGTGATTTTTTTCTCCTCCCTTTTTGCTCTGAATGGAACATCAACTTCAAGCTTCAGCTTTGAAGTCCCAGTAGCGGTAGTGATGTTTCTATATGGGGTGAGGTAGATAGCCTCACATTCCACCTTCCCTCTTTGCAGAGTTTACTACTGGCTAGGTGAGATGTAGTAGTAATGCGTCTGCCGGGTATCGAATTAGGATCACGTGCATAGTTGGCAAGCGTGCCATCATTCCACCATTGACGCCTTAACTAATCCTACAACATTGTGACAAATACTTTTCAGATTGGTCAGAGCGATATTTACTTGAAACAAAAGAAAAAACACGGAGTGGTAAAAGATTTGATTGGTTACAAAAATGAAAGATGTGTTGTGTGATTTTATCAGTAGGTCTATGTCATTACACTTTTGTCTAAAACATCCGTGGGATGTTTGAAAATCTTTTTTCTTTTGATTGGTTGAGACATCAAAGTGTGTATGTGATCTCTAGTTAAAAGCTGTGTATCCACCTACATGATCACATTGTTTACTTGACTGACGGTAAATTTAATCAGGTCTACAACTGATATAACTTTTGCTTATAATACACCTAATATAAAGAAAGTTTTAGCATATGAGTTGTGAAACTGATTATGTTGATGAGGTCCACAATTAAAATACTTTTAGTTCAGGTAACATTGACACATTTCTCTGTTTTATTCTCAATAAATTATGTTAGTTATACCTATTTAACAGAGTATTCACATCTCCAGTTTATGATCCGAAACTTACACATGCTCATGAAGCTAACGGCCTAAATATTCGATATCCTGTGATATTTATACATGGGATCGGTGGAACACAAGCTCATTGTATAGTGAAAGATCCACAATCACGTGTGAAACGCTTTATTGTCTGGATTCGATTGATAATTTTCCTTATACCTGAGAAATTGTTCTCTTATATGGGGTAAATTGAATTAATTTTATTTTTATGGAAAAATACCCCCCCCACACACACAGATTAGAGTATGATCCAGTTTCGAAAACAACTAAAGAAAAAGACATATGTGATGTTGAATTTCCTGGTTGGGGTGATACATGGGCAAGCGAATATCTGACTGAAGAGAAATATGCTCCATCAGGTTATCTGAAATTACTTGTTGACGGATTAACTGAAGACAGCTATTTCATACGCAATAAAACGTTACGTGCTGCACCGTATGACTTTCGTAAAACACCACGTATGTATTCAGTATAAAAGTACAAAATAACTACTTCAAGTTATTATCTCTTCTAGAGGAAAATTTAAAATATTTTGAAAAATTAAAACAACTTGTCGAAGAGACTTATGAAAATGGTGGATATCGTCCAGTGTACTTACTTGCACATAGTATGGGATCTTTATATGCAATGTATTTTCTTAAACAACAGACAAAGCATTGGAAACAACAATATATCCGGGGATATATATCTGTTTCTGCTCCGTTTGGTGGATCAATGGAAGCTTTGTATTCTGAAACTTGTGGTACGTTTTTTAAATTTAATATGAAGAGAATAATGAAAAACTTTATTATTGCAAGGATTTCTGTTAAGGCTATTATTATTACTTTCGACATTCTCAGATTTTTATAGTATATTTAATGAATTAGAAAAATTTCGGTAGGACTTTCCAGTTGAATATTCTACAGAAAGTGTTTATTTAAACAACTTTTTAAGATTAATTGCATACAGACGCGTCAACCTTTTGGTAACAAATAATCTGATGCTCGCTAGTGATTTGCTACAGGACGGAGTTTCCTTGAGTTCTAGTGAGAAGTCATGACCATTGAGGTCCATCCAGTCAAGCGTGAGGATGAATGTCCCTCCAATGACATTGGTTGGTGGTTGCGCCAAACCGCGAATCGATAGAAGTTAGAATTCATACACTGGCCAGTGAATAGGGTCCCAGTGACTGAATGGTATACGAGCTTGTCTTGTAAACGGAAGGTCCTAGGCTAGAGCCCTAGTGGTGGGTGCGCACTACCAATGATTCCCAAACTAGGATGAAACAGCAGCTGTCCAGTACTCCGTGATTTTCAATGGTTCTCTAACTGATATCAATCCGTGATCAACTCGTCAAAACAAATCTAATCCTTACAAAGGAACTATATAAAAATAATTATAAAACATCTAAATTTAAATATGTTGAAATACAAGGAAACTTTGCAAATCGAAAATAAATAAATTGAACATATCGAAATCAAATAGGACTAAGTAGCTCATAAGACAGTTTGAACACTCCTCGCCAGGATTAAGACTCACCTATGATTTTCAATTTTCACATATCTTAAAAAAACTAACATTGTATTAGATAAAATAATGATAATAATAGTGGAAAAAACATTGTGAAGAGAAGAGAAACGGTAAAAAACTACAAAGGTAAAATAAAAGTATGCTACCAAGGTTAATTTATGCTGACAACTGTCTCTCGCTTGTTTGATCTGATTCCATAGGCTTCTTTTATTACACTGCTTTTTAATAACTATATAAGTTTCACTGAATGTCAGTATATGACCACAGTCCAATAAATGTCGTGTGATTCATCTCTTTGGGATGCTATCGTGAATACGTATTCAACCTTAAAAAGTTGTAAAAATAGCAAATTGTGTAGAGTATCCACCTGACGAGTCCTATTGAAATTTATGAATTCAGTAAATACTGCTTCTTTCATATTTTAATTGGGGAAAGAAATGTTTTCATTTTTTCTATATCATATTTGGGAATTACATTTACATACAAATTCATACTGTTGCCGCCAAATATTTGATGAAAAATTACAGAACTTCTACAGCTCTTTGTGTTTATGACACTACTTCAATATCCACAGTGACTAATTTCATCGTTACAGTCATAATCTTCATCGTGACAACACTGAAATGCTATAACAGACAAGCTCAAAAACTGAAAATCAATTTCTGTTAGCCAAATCACGAATTACAGTAATGTGAATATTTATTCATTGCGAGAACTGTCTTGAAAGAGTCCGATAAAAGAACAGACTCTGCTCACACACAGTGGTAACAACTCTGAAGCAACAGCGTATGATGAAAAAGATCAACTTCAGGTATGAAACAATAAATAACACTGAGCATCAGCATGTAATCTACTTAAATACCGATACAGGTTGAATATGCTTTACTTTTTTAGAAAGTTAGTATTAACGAAATCATCTGGTGTAATAAAAATATACACTTATTCAAAAATTACCATTCAAATGAAGATTAAACCACTATTGACTTGAATTAAGCTGATGATTTGACTGTTTAAAGTTATTATTCTTATTACAATTAATTTTGATGTATTATGGTCTGAGTATTTTCAAATGAATCAGGAAAACAGAGCTATGTAAGCTGTGTACCGCCAAATAGATGGTGTAGCTATGAGCAGTCCACTTAGCCCTGTTTTAGCAGATATATTCATGTCTAACCTTGAAAGAACAAAGCTGAAGCATGCAATCGACAAAACATCTTCCTACTGTCGTTATGTTGATGACACATTTATAGTGTGCAAAAATAAAAGTCATGCTTCACACTTACTAAGAATATTCATTGGTGCACACGCCAATATTGACTTCCCTATGGAACACGAAAGTGACGGAAAGTTTCACTTCCTCGACATAGCCATGTAACGCCTAGAAGACGGTAGTCTTCAAAAGTCAATTTATCGAAAGCCCACATGGAAAGGACAATACTTGCATTTTAATAGCTTTTGTCCACATAGCTTTAAACGTGGTCTAGTCAAGACTTTGTACTATAGAGCGAGGAGAATATGCTCTAAAGAGAAACTACAGGAGGAATTTGAGTTCCTTGAAAATATATTGAAGAGAAATGGCTATCCTCAAAGGTTCATAAACAAGTATGGAAGATCTGAAGTCACAAATGTAAAACAAATCACAGTGGGTAAAAAGCCAGTCTACCTTCAGCTTGATTTTAAAGGTGAAAATATTGCAGCGATGATCAACAGAAGGCTGAGTACATCACTAGCCATAGCGTATCCTGCAGCTAAGCTCGTTCCCGTCTATCGAACAACTTGCTCTTTGGTGCAATCAAAAATCGACAAATATCCTTCTCATGTTACCTCCAGCTGTGTGTACAGATTTAGATTTTTTTTTTTTTTTGATTTACAGCTTGATTCCAAACTGTATTTTTGGTACAAGTATGGAATTTTCAGCATGGATATCGGTAGCCCAAATTTTGCAGGCCAACCATAGATATCAGGTGTGCGCCGGCGTGGGCTCGAACCCCGGACCATGTGCATGGTCGGCGAGAGTCCTAACCACTGTGCCACCGACGCACACTGCGGGAGCAGTTACATTGGAAGGACAGAATGAAGGGCATATCTACGATTTTCTGAACATGTACCAAAAAGCTTACGTCTAAAGGGAACAAATGCTTTAAACAGTGCCATCGCCAGGAATCTCCTCGACATGAGTTGGTCATGAGGTGGACGTCGAAAAGTCGTTCAAAATTATCAATAAGCAAAATAGCTCAATTCTCCTTGAGTTTGCTGAAGCCATTTCCATCAAGCGCCTGAAACCTGATTTATGTGTCCAGAAAGAAGCGGTTATCAGCCTTTCTTTACCCTGGTAACTGGATAATTTCACCTCTCTTTCCTCCGAATGTGAAATGCTACAAGTTTCCATTGTGTTTGATTATTATTGTTCGGAATAGTGGTTAATATTGCATATTTATATATGTATATATTTTTAGTGTATGAGTATATTGATCGATTGATTTTTGTTTAAACTTAACTCTGTGCAAGTATGTTAAAATTGTTGTTGTAGATATATTTAATAATGTCTTTGCCATGTAAGCAGCTGACGAGAAGGCAACGAAATAAGCAGTGATGGTGCCATTTTATTCTGCCCAAACTGTAGTTCTTGCTTTGTTCGAAATTCTTTATCCTACACAGTAACTTCTTGTCATGTTAAAACAAACTTATTTGTCTATTATATTCTAGCTGCTTCTCATCTATGCATCTGACCATTATGTTCAGGTGATAAGGTTAAGAAATAAATAACAAAATTTTCAAAAGAATGGATACTGAACAAAGAGTACTCTTTTCGATAAATTCATCATCAGGCTCTACATTTATACATACATTATCGTGAATAAATGAATTAGTGTTATGAATGACATTATTGTTAAAATAACATCAAATCAATAATATTGATAGATTACAGCTGAATCGCATCAACATAAAATAAGCTGAATGTCAGAAATATTAGGGAAGATAGTATTACAAATTCATGAATTTATAGTCACTGCTGAAGGCCAGGGCAGTAGTGGGGGCTGGACTTGCTTCTTTTGAACACAAAGCACTGGTTGTTTGAGGCGAATCGCAATAGCCTCTGCTGTTTGGAGCATGCGGTGCTTCGATGATTTTGGCAATTTATTAGGCATCCAGTAGATTATAGAGAGGGATTCCTCCACGCTGGCTTTGTCCCCAGTTTGGAGCAGATGGTCCAGTATCGAACTGTTAATGGTTTTAACTACACCTTTATTTAGCCACGCTGGGAGATGTTCTCGAGCACGAAAAATCAAGTTCCTAGAGCAACGGCCAATATAACTCGTTCCACAAGTGCAGTTGAATTGATAGATACAGTTAGAAGTGGCTAGTCTATGTACTTCATCTTTCAGTCGAGAAATCACCATCGGTCGTGTAGAGAATAAGACGTGTAGTTCGCCAGCAGTAAAAGTTCTTTGAACTGATTTTCTTAATTTCTTCGCAACTATCTCACTTTCTATTTCCCCATTGAATTGTAGTCGTATATAAAGAGGCTTTTTTTCACAGATAGTGAGTGCTCCTTTTCCGTTTTCTTTGTCATATGTTTCTTGATAAATTTTTTGGGATAGCCATTTTCGATCAAAGTATCATATACAATGCTTAATTCATCTTCAATTACTTCTTCTGAGCATATAGCTCTAACTCTGTGACTGAGTGTCTTCACTAAATTTCTTTTGTACTTGATAGGAACGAAGCTGTGAAAATGTGTACATTGTCCTGTCCAGGTGCTTATTCTATGCAAATTTCTTTATATGCTACCATCTGGTTTTCTTGTAAGTAGGACATCCAGGAAGGCAATTCTGTTTTGGAATTCCTCTTCGCATGTGAATTTCATAGCCGAATGTACTTCATTGAATTCAGTGATTATTGTACTCTTATCAGGACCATTATCACAAAGAATAAAGGTATCGTCCATATATCGGCAATAAAATGAGAACTTACTTATAAGGTTGTTCAGAGGTCCATTTTCTAGCTTACTTAGAAAGAAATCAGCGAGAATGGGACCCAATGGGGAGCCTATCGCCACCCAGTCCACTTGTCTGTAAAGCATGTCGTTAAATTTGAAATTCACATTCATGGTACATCTTAATATAAATTCTTTTAGGATCTCAGTATGTGTGCCAATGTTTATCGACAGCTTGTCCACTAGTTCGCCTATGTAATTAACTGTTTCTATTAAAGGTACATTTGTGAATAACGATGTTATGTCCAGAGATATCATGGCTTTGTCCTTGATATTATTATCTTTTATTTTGTCTACGAATTCAAATACATCTTTGACGCTATATTTCACTATCTTATCATGCAAAGTTTTGAGAATATTTACTAACCAACTAGCTAGAGCATGATAGGGCGAATTTTGCACATCAAGTATCGGTCTTAATGGTACCCCTGGTTTATGCACTTTAGGTAGTACATATAATCTTGGCGTATATGTGCCCGTTGGTCTGATTTCTTCATATTAACTTTCAGAAAATATCTGCTCTTCCTTGAGTTTCTTCAAACGTTTGGTTAATTCATTCTCTATTTTGTTATTGAAATCTTTCTTCTCCTCAAGTTTTTGAAACTTCTGTGTGTCCTTTAATATATCATTCATCTTTTTAATATAGTCACTTCTGTCAAGGAGGACTACTCCTGATCCTTTGTTCAGTATCCATTCTTTTGAAAATTTTAATGGGCATTTTTAATCAATTAAAATAACAAATTGGCTAATTATGAATGTGAAGGCCTTTATATCTTGTTTCTTGATGAAAGGAATGGTCTTTAAAAACTGCTTTCTTTTTCTTGGTCTTCAGGAAATAATTTTGGAATACCATCACGCACTCCATTTGGATTCCGAACTGCAGAACGTTCTTTTCCAGCAATGGCTTTTCTTTTACCAGATCCACGTCTATGGTCAAAAGATGAAAAAGTCATTGTAACGCCTACCAAAAATTATTCAGTACACGATATGAAAGAGATTTTCGATGATATTTCATTTCCATCAGGTAAATAAATCACTATTTATTCATATAGTATACGAATAAAAAAAGTTAAAAATAAATTGGGTTAATCAAAACTACTGCTCCATACCACTATTTATACCTCCTTATTAAAGGGTGTTCTTATTCACATTATTCAAATGTTTGTACATTCAACTAGCTTTTTGTTACGACGCTAGATCTTTGTCTCGAGGTAACTGCCTAACTACCGACCAGTGCCCACTTAACTGGTAAAGCAGAACACGCGAGAATCAGCGGTAAAACCAGAATCATTTATTTATGACAAAAGTGACTGTGTTTATACAAAAATAAGGTAGACTGGAAATCAACTAATCCGGTTGAGAGTTTGCAATTGTGCAAGCGTCCAATCAGAAAGCAGAAACAAATGCATGTCAACGACACGCTAAAAGCTTGACTGAGACATGATAATTGCATGTGTTTTGCCTCTTCCTAACACTTTTGAAATGACTTTGGTAAACACCCAGCATGACTAAAAGCTTGATACAAGAATATAACTTAGGCATTCTAGTAGAGCACATACTAACATAGTAGAGTAAATTTATTTGATGAACTCTCACAGTATCATTTACTCGTGATATTTCAACCACAGTTTATTTCCCCCTAATCACATCAACTTACTCAAACAACAATCCAACCTCGCTTATATACCTGAGTAACAAACTGATTAGACATATGAACGAAAAAACAAAGGTAATAAATGTAAATTTCAATAGACATACATTTAACAGATTATAGGCAGAAAAAGTACATTTGGAAATAAGATGAGTATCGTGAATAAAATAAAACAAGGTGGGAAATAAGATGTATTGTCAGTAAAATAAAATAAATAAAATATTAAAACTTGATAACATAAATTTAAATAAATAAAACAAATATTATTTCTCATCCTCTGATTTGATTGGTAATAATGTCTTCCGTATCTCTAGTAGTGGTGCTGAGCCACTTCTAGAGCTTGTGTTGGGTGTAAGTTCGATCAACGAAGATTCTGTAATCAACCTCTCTCTCCATCTACCCATATTAGTTTTTAAAATTGTAACTTTGTCCCTCTCTATTGTGTTGTTGTGTGTTAATGTGAGCACTACAACTGCCGGGTTTTTTCCCAAATTATTTATTTCAGCAGGGTCAATCATTTTTTTATTATAGCTTGATTCCACACAGTATTTTAGACAGAAGTATGGAATTTTCAGCATGTGATATCGGCAGCACGAATTTCGCAGGCCGAACATAGATATCAGTCGTGCGTCGGCATGATCTTCTACTCCGGACCGTGCGCATGGTCGGCGAGAGTCCTAACCGCTGAGCCACCGACGCACAATTCTACATTTAGCTAAATTTTCTATGTTCTGATAATCTGGCATGCCCTGATTTACTGCTCAAACATATATCAGTCATTAAAAGGTACTTTGTAAATTATATTATTTTTTCCAAATAAGCCAAAAGGGCCCTCTAACCTACAGACCTTGTCCGTGAGTGAGTTTGTAGATCTAAATGCCACTCTGATTCCCACCTTATTAGGAATCCTACGTAGGGTTTCAGATGTCCATTCTTTATATGGTAACAAGGTAAATCCTTTAAATGCTTGTTTATTTATGCTATGGTCATTAATCTCACTGTTATTTTTCTTGTCCTTGTGAGCTGTTGTAATCTTCTTAGTGAATTTTATAGGATGGCTATTTAGTGTCAATGCGTCTTCTTTCTGTTTCATTGCATTGATATACTTGCTGAAGACTTAACTAAATCTGCCTTCACAGATAACGGATGTGATGAACTAAAGTCTTAGTATCTATTACAATGCGTTGGCATTTTATAAACGCTAGTGTATAGTGATCCTTCTTCTGTTTGTTTTATTTCGCAATCTAACACAGCTAATTCTCTTTGTTGATTTTTCTGATTTATTAGTGAATTTTGTTCCTTTTACCAGTGAGTTTATGTATGTGAAGGAACGAGGGATAGATTAACAAACAATAATAATAATAAGGCATTTTTACAGGCATGAACATATATAAACTAATTAGAACTGATAGAATATATAATATAATTTGTTGATTTAAACTTAGATTGAACACTAATTTATGTGAGAGAAACATTGAAGAAAAAGACGAATAACTAAATAGGTAATTTCTGAAATCTGCCTTCAACCGAATAAGTTATAAGTTATAGCATCAAATCTAAATTTTAAATGACAATATACCTCCTGCATGTCGATTTCAGGCGGGAATAATAAGTGAATACGTTAGTAGTAGGAGGTAAGTAGCATTTTAGTACAGGTGCTGAAGTGAAACATAAGAGATGCAGAATGAACAATAAATATCAGTGAATGACGGGACTATCTGAAAAATGTGATGTATTAGCGCCTTACATTTCGAACAATCTGATCCCTCACACATTTACTTGTCAAGTCTATATATATATATATATATATATATATATATATATATATATAGAAAAGTTAAATTAAACAAATTGAGAGAAAAAGGAATTAAGAATAATTAACACAACGTATGGTAATTCAATCAAATAAGGATTACCAAGGTAGGTTATGAGTAATAACAAACTGTTTTTGAATACACAAGGGGGGCTTAAGTCTATGAATAGCTATAGCCTCAGCGTATTTCAGTAAACGCCCTTGACCGTTCTTTTAGATGACCTTAAAGGCTGAGTTAGCATCAATCTTGTGGTTCATCTCCATTAGATGTTTAGCTATAGACGAAGTTGGAAGTCTAACACATGCATCTATTGGCTTGCCACAATTCATCTGTTTTTCTAACCATTTTGGGATGTGCTCTCCCACCCTCACGTGCAAAGTGTGATTACTCCTCCCTATGTATGTATGTCCACACACACACACACACACACGAAAATTGGTCAATTGTGTGGGATGTGATATAATCACTTGTGCACTTTTGAGGTTTACAGTGAAGCATATTTTTAGCTTTTTCCACAATTACAAGCTCGGCTGCATAGTAGTTTCTACAGATGATTGAATTCAACCTTTGTCTCACAATCCTACTGTTTATTTCCCCGTTATATGGTAATTTGATGAAAACCTTTTTCTTAGGGACGGTATGGATTGTAGGTTTAGAGACTAGTTGACTTCTACACCTGTTTAAAAATTTTAAAGGATATCCGTTTTCAACAAGAGTATCCATTAATATTTCGTTTTCTTTGTCTATAACATCAGCCGTGCAAATACGCTGAATCCTCTTAAATAGACACTTCACCAAGCCTCTCTTATACTGTAATGGACAGAACCTGTGAAAATTAAGGTATTGCCCTGTCCAAGTGGGCTTTCTGTAGATAGGCCGTCTTATTGAACCATCATCTCTCCGACTTAGAAGTATGTCTAAAATTGCTAGCTGGTTGCGACTTTCTTCCTCGCATGTAAGACTAATATGATTCTGTACAGAGTTAAGTCTGTCTAATAAGCGACTCTCATCTTCATGATCGTCACATATCAAAATGATATCATCCACATATATCCTATAGAAGGGCAATTTTGAAATTAAATCAAGGGATACGTTTTCAACATCAGACAGTTTGTTATTACTCTTAACCTACCTTGGTAATCCTTATTTGATTGGATTACCAAACGTTGTGTTAATTATTCTTAATTCCTTTTTCTCTCAATTTGTTTAATTTAACTTTTCTATATATATATATATATATATATATATATATATTGACTTGATAAGTAAATGTGTGAGGGATCAGATTGTTTGAAATGTATAGCGCTAATACATCAGATTTTTCAGATAGTCTCCGTCTTCTAATAACGCTATCAAAATTTATAAAAGGGTATAATTGCTTTAAATCAGTGAATGATTCATAAATTGTTCAAAAGTCTATAAAATTTCAAAGTCACAGGTAAGTATACCATAATTGTGACGTTTTCAGTTATATATGAGACCAACTTTGAACTTGTCAACAGATTTTATAAAGAAAGTGATTCCGTAATTCACCAGGTGTTCTAGCAATATTCTGAATAACTGCAAAGTTTAGGTTCTAGTGATCCCAACACGTCATTTGAGTAACTCTAAAGTAGAGGATAGCATCACTGTATCAATGCCTTTGTTGAAGGCAGTACCTGTTTTTAACACTGTGAAAGTGTCATCCACATATCTCCACTAGACTATTGGAGTAGAACTAGGTGTATTAAGAGCGTTATTCCCCCAGTTATCCATAAGGATATCTGCTGCAACTGGGGATATTGGTGATCCGATTGCTACGTTAACACATCCTAGCATTTTATTTATTTTATTTTACTGACAATACATCTTATTTCCCACCTTGTTTTATTTTATTCACGATACTCATCTTATTTCCAAATGTACTTTTTCTGCCTATAATCTGTTAAATGTATGTCTATTGAAATTTACATTTATTACCTTTGTTTTTTCGTTCATATGTCTAATCAGTTTGTTACTCAGGTGTATAAGCGAGGTTGGATTGTTGTTTGAGTAAGTTGATGTGATTAGGGGGAAATAAACTGTGGTTGAAATATCACGAGTAAATGATACTGTAAGACTTTATCAAATAAATTTACTCAACTATGAAATTTGAAGATTAATCCTGTCATTATTTTCTGCAGTATGATTAGGAGTGTTATTAAAATGTATTTAAGTATTACTGAACTTCAAGGTAGTTTGCTAATTTGAAGAACATATTGTGGGTGTGAATATCTCCACAAGCATGATGCGAATCTTGAAAAACCATCGTGTTTTGATTCTTAAATTGATGATGCAAAGTTATGTTATCAGTTATACAGCTTTACATTTACACTACAAATAAAATATCTATATCTACAAATGTAAACATCAAAATATGTCCATATCATCTTTATCATTGGAGTAAACTCATAAGACGTTTTCATCTATTTCAGAAATTTAATACATACATATACGTTTCATTTTAATGACCGTTTTTTAACAAACTACAGTAGTTTATGGGAAAATGTTTACCTGCTTACTCCATTTTGCTTTTTGTGGTAGAAAAGCTGTGGACTATGCATAACAGTGAATTGTTTCAATCTATCATTATGCAGTATTGAAACCCTTGTCTCTAATTATGTGGTACTTTTTCAGGTGATTGTGAGTATTAATTATGTTAAATTAAAACTTATCAATATGTATAAATACACATTAAAGAGAAAATTATTATTCTTATGTTTTAGGTTATTTAATGATGCAAGAAGGTAAAAAAACAATTGACACACTTGAACGACCTACAGATGTTGACATCTATTGTATATACGGTGTTCAACTGCCTACAATATCACAGATGATATTTTCATCACCTGGACAGTTTCGTTCATCATTTCCAAATCATATACCATTAATTAAATATGGCGATGGAGATGGTATGGTGAATATACGAAGTTTATCTGTTTGTAGAAATTGGAAGTCAGTTAATGAAATTCTTTTACCGCATAGTTCACATGAAGACATTCTTAAAGATCAACGTTTAATTGATATTGTAAAACGAATTCTCATTATTAAGTAATTAGTTCTCCAAACAAAATGATCACTCAAAGATTCTACCCTACATTACAACATTTATTAACATGATAATCAATCATTAATTTCAAAATATTCTTCTACAGAGTCTTTTAGTTTATTTTTATTTTATTTCAGCCAAACTTCAAGTTATAATTTCTCATTCTAAGCCAATATATTTTTGATATGTGTTCAAGGTTTCCTTGTAATATTTGCTCGTAGATGTGAAATGCTGAAATCGGATAATTTATTTCTTTTAGATTTCAGTAATTCTTCAGTTAATGGTCATCAGTTTTGAAAAATAATAAGATATGAATTTGATTGGTGGTGTCAATGGAGTCCAGGATGCGCATTTCGACCTATTTAAGACTCGTTATCTGGATGTATCTACATTTCCCAATTGATCAGTGATGATGTTCCCACCGAGGCTCGAACCCAATGCCCATAGTCTCGAACATCAAAGGCTTATCCACTAGACCATTTGGGACACGAGAGCCACCTCTTGTGCAACGGGTCACATTATTTATTTAATTGAATTGAATTTTAGTTTTGCCCGTCGACTGACAGCAAAATCTAAAATTAAACTCAATTAAATAAAAAAACATGAAACTATAAGCTTAATTTTATCTCGGAAATTCGAGAGGAAGTTTACAGTGCATCAGTAGTTTGAAAAATAAAGATTTGTGTAAGATGTAATTTTTTTATCAGTTCACCAAAAGAATAGTAGTCAAACTTTTCTTTACCATACTTTCCTACTCTTGAAAATTAAACAGAAGAGTTAAACTGTTGTTGTCTAATACCGCTAGGTTCAGAGTTTTGGCTTATTGGCTGCATTAGTCGAATTTCAAGGATTGTGTCTCAGAGGTGAACTGCTCATTGTCTCTTACTGACTCTCTTTCAGCCCAGTAGCTATACAAGTGTGGCTAGTCGGTAATTACTGATAAATACATGTGTGGTTGCTCGGAAGCCTTTAATTTTTTTCTTTACTACCGCACTTATATTTGTAATAAAACAGAACAATGAATATTATTTTAGGCCAAGTAAAATCGGATTGCTGAAAGTTTCCCTTCCTGATATGCTTGTTATTCGCATGCTATAAACATCAAGAGGTGAAAAAACAGTCATATGCCACCTTGATAAGGCAAAGGCAAAACCTTCGCAGCTTTCCGCAGAACACAAAGTTGAGTAATGAATACTATTTAGTTCTGCTGGGTAAATACAGTACTAAATAAAATGACTGTGGGATAAAAACAAAATTATTATCATAGAACATTTCTATTATCACTACAAGCTTAGAACTTATGACACATTTTAAGGTCAATCAAGTAGCAATGTGTACTTTGTACATGAATATATTTGTTTAATTTGGATCTCTAGGATGCCTTTTGATTCTGTCATTCAGTACTTAACAAAACAGCCTGTGAATTGCATAAACATAAATAGGAATTACTTCCCCACTAGTGATTTCCATTCCTATTCAGTTTACATTCGATTACTTTGTGTTCATGAACTCATCATCCTGACGACAAAACAGGACGACCATAGGTATTTATCTTACTTTCAAAGTCAGGTATTTGTGTAGAGGAATAATAATGTTTTTGGAAGATCCCCTCCGAAAGATTCAATGACAACGCTGATATTTATTTGGAAGTTTCAACTAACTTTTTAACTGTTATCCATCCTTCTCCCAGAATGTATTTCACTGTTCTGATGTTTACACATCGTTTGCTGCGTTGATCTTTATTATTTGTCATTTTCCTGTTTGATCTGTCATTTAAGTACTTCTGTTTGTGGTTGTGTTATGACACTGATAATATGTTGTTTTATGACTGTTATTTTGTTTGAGTGTGTCAAGGTTATTCGGACCTTGAACTGTCTGCGAGAATTGTCTAGTGTATGATTTATGCTGGCAGATTTATGAACTCACCTCGTTAGAAATATTCTACTTGATTCTAAGCTACTCCTTACGGTTGATTTGGTTAGACAATTTTGTCCTACAGTACTTGTTTTGTAATTGTACTTTGATCTGCCAACGTTGGGGTGATTTTGACTTTTCAATGTTATCATTACTGAACATAACCATATATTTTAAGGCAAATAACTGTGTTTTTGCTCTCTTTGGGGGTATTTTGTGACTGTGAGTAACTCAAGAAAGTTTTAGTTAGCTATACAGTAGGAAGTAAAGATGGGTTTGTTGAGTTCAGAGTATAGCACATAGGTTTTGGTTGTTACAATTTCATCAAAGACCAAAATGATATTACTTGAAATACATAATGAAATGGCATACTAGCAAACACTAGTAATTGATTGATATCTTGTTTTATCAATATAAATACAGTGGGACTCCAATGTATAGATAAGACCTAAGGCTGATTGTCTTAAATCAATTAAATTAGTCCAAGGAACTAAAAGGAGAAAGCATAGAATTGTATAATTTGACTCAAAGTTAATCTAACTTTCATTGAAATCTAATAATATTAATAATAGTTAAAGAATTACCAATAACAAAACTTATCATTGTGTGTAAACTATTAAAATATAATTATACTTTATTTGAGTTAAAGAATTGTTTTGTTTTTGCACAAAACTTGTTGTAGAAACTAAAATCTGCATCATATTGATTGACATGAGAAGTTGAACATGCACCGAAATCAAAATGTCGCATGATTTTTTTTCTTTAATTAGTAGCTTATGAATGAATACATAAAGTGTTGATTAATAACATAGTAAATACTGAGGTTTTGACATCTACAGGTATTTTGAAAAAGATTTCTTTCATTTGAATTCAGCTTTCCTCCAATGATATCGTGACTACAAAAATGTAGTGATTTACAGACCGTAAAAATGTACAACTGCTCAATGATGTTAACTGAGAGCTAAATCAAACAAGACCTGGCAATTGGTAGAAGCTAGAATTCATTGGCCAATTAATCAGGTTTTAGTCGCTTAATGGTCTACGAGCTCACTCTGTAACCAGGAGGTCCTGGGTTCGAACCCGGGTGGGTGCGTACTGTTGAAGATTCTCAATCTAGGACCAAACAGCTTTTTAGTACTCCCTGTGGGATGTTCAATGCTTCGCCAAACAATGTCAGCTCATGATAAAATCCTGTAGCCAGTCAACCGAAACCCAACAAGCCAATGCTGGAAAAGCTGACAATATTCAGGTGTGATTTTGAATTCAGCCATCAGTTAGAACTGTAATAATCTCCCATCTTCCCTAAGATCTAACATTCTTTATTCAAGTTGTTTACTTTTACACTATGAAGTCATTCATAGATAAGATGGATTAACGCACACTTGATATCTATGGTCGGCCTGCGAATTTTGGGCTACCGATATCCACGCTGAAAATTCCACACTTGTACCAAAAATACGGTGTGGAATCAAGCTGTAATCAAAAATAAAAAATAAAATAAAAAAATAATAAACCAAATCCACTTTTGCGGTTGTGCAAACAAACGATTGATTTCAATACATCTAAACAAGGAACATTAATAAATGGTACAGTAGTACCTCTATACCTTCTGTAAACATACTTTTTAATCTAATTTGTATATTTGTATTATATGTGTACACAGACCGATTTTATATGTACTTCGCAAACATTTGTGAATTTACTGTTGAACATTACCTTGACACAATTTTGAAATTTCACTAATGCTATAATACACGATCGTACTCTTCGCAAGTGCCTTTTGGTTTTACGTTGTGGGTGTTGAGTAGCCACAACGTCTATGCACATTAATAAAAGTGGAGAAGTACTAGGAAATACGTGTACGCTGATTTAGTCAAATAACCCACGCAACAAATTGGTGAGCCCGACGACAAATTGGTGACCTCGATGATTACTTGTTCACTCCGACAACAACTTGTTCATCCCGACGCACCATTACACTTCCTGGATTAATAAAACTGTGACTTCACCGGCTCTATATATATATACATATATAATAGACACTTCGAACACATTCTTGTGCCTTCTCATCGCACAACTCGCAGTAATCTGTGGTAAGTATCTGCATTGCATGTTTTTCTGTCTTGCCATATTCTTAGTGTGCATAATTTTTGCTGTTTTGTTACTTTGAACCATTTTTCTACGAATTGTATTATGTCTTCCAATACCTCTAATAACTTAGAGCTGGGATCTGTTTGTACTATTTCTCTTTCTGTACCAGTTTTCAAGCCCAGACACCCCATCTTTGTTTTGCACGACTGGAGCATTATTTCACCGCCAATAAGCTCACATCACAGACGGCTAAACTCGGCATTTTGAGTGCAGCACTACCAGACGAAATCGCCGAACAGTTTCGACAATACATAGTTCAACCCAGCACAGACGCTCCTTACGACAAGTTGAAGGAAGAGGTACTTCGATGCACTTCTCTTTCGCATAGGCAAGCACTCGATCGTTTGTTAAGCAATATAGAGCTAGATGATAAAACCCCATCGCAACTCATGAGGCATATGCAAAGCCTAGTAGCAGGAAGAGAAATCGATAAACGTCTCTTTTAGCAAATTTGGCAGCGACGACTTCCTGCAAACATTCGGCAAGTTCTCGCTTTCGGAGACGACGACAGTGACATAGAAAAGCTCGACAAGATCGCGGATCGCATGTACGAGAGGTCATCTATCACGTCACGACATCACGATACTATTTGCTGGTACCACCGTAGTTATGGAGGCAATGCACGACGGTGTCGTTCACCTTGCAACTTTCAGGATAAACCAAAAGATGTATCGTCATGTATGAAAACTTCTACTGTTGGCGATCTACTATCTGGCAGTCGTTTGTTTTATGTAACAGATAGAAATACCGGTACTATATTCTTAGTCGACACAGAAGCAGAGGTTAGTGTTCTCCCTCCGTCTACGCAGGAACGTCAACATCCTGACCCTGCAGTTACGCTCCAATCCGTTAATAAGTCTAATATTGTTACATATGGAAGTAAACGAATGACTTTAGATTTTGGTCTGCAGAATACCTACAGTTGGTCTTTCATCATTGCAGATGTTCTATCCCCAATCCTCGGTATCGATTCTCTACAGCAACACAAACTGCTAGTTGATCCGATAAGCCCTAAGCTAATAGACTAGCTCAATAAAACGTACATTGCTGGTATGATTAGCCGTGCATCATCGTTGAACTTGATGGTTATACGCACACCAGGATATCCATATACCGGCTCGGTAAATCAGTTCCCTGACCTTCTACAACCGTCTTTGGGAGCAACAGACCATAAAGCTCTAACGAAGGCTTTATCAGAAAAACAGGATAATTACTCTCCACGCGAACTACTACATCTCCAGCCTATATCCCAAGCCACCTCTGATCTGTGATATGTAAAGGGTAAAAACAATGAAGTGGCAGACGCTTTATCACGTATGCACATTGACAAGATTGTATGCCCAGACATAGACTACGAACATCTCTCAAACTTACAAC